TTTTTTCCCTCCCCTCTTGGTTTTCTTTTTGAGACAGGATCTTGCTATGCAGTTTGGGCTGGCCTTGTGCTCACTTTTGTAGCTCCCTGGCTGATCTTGAACTCCTGTTTCAACCTCCTGAATCCTGGGATTACAGGCATGTACCACCATGCTCACAGTGCGCCTGGAGTTTCAGGATTCTAACTTGGAATCTTGTGCTTGCCAGATAGGTGCTTCTGCCTCTGAGCTATCTCCCCAGCCCTAGAGTTGATTTTTAAGTATGTTGCCTTCCAGTAACATATGTGCACAAGTGGGTACTCTGATATGCACCCCCCATCCGAATTGGTAAGGAAGAAATATTTTGTGATGATAAAGATTTACTACCGGGGGCTGGAGAGATGGCTCAGTGGTCTAAAGCACCTACTTGAAGCAAGCTTGGCAAAGCACAGGGACCGCAGTTTGATCCCCCAGCACCACATGCCGGCCGGCCCCGCCCCCTGGTGGGCTGAGCTGGCCACACACACAATAAATAAATGTAATAAATAAAAATAAATAAATAATTAAAAAAAAAAAAAGATTTACTACCTCCCAAAATAACTAATAATTTGTCTGTTTGGAATAAAGTTTTTCTTTAATTAAAAACAAAACATTTAATTCTTGACCAGCAGCCCTTTATGAGACTAGCAGCCTTTTTTAAAGTTTCCTAAGTGAATGTTTTGATTGTATTAAAGTGGCTTTTGCTAACAAAAGCATTCAAAAGATTGTTATTGTACTAATGATAATAGTGTAACAGCGTATAGTTTTAGTATTTTAATTTATTATTAAATCTGTTATCAGCCAGTAAAGTGTCTATTCTTACCAATATAACTCTAGTTTTATATGAGAAGTGTGAGATGTGTAGAGGATAAGTTACATGCCCAAATTTTTTTTTTAATTAATTAATTTATTTATTTATTTTGTGTATGTGTGGCCAGCTCAGCCCACCAGGGGGCGGGGCTGGCTGGCATGTGGTGCTGGGGGATTGA